AGAAGGCGTTCCATCATGGATTGGAAGATACCAGGGGCAGCGCTGACTCCAAATTGGAGGCGGTTACATTTAAATGCCCCTCTGTGCGTGACAATTGTTTGAGCCTCCGCCGTTTTGTCATCCACTGGCAGTTGCTGGTAAGCCTGGGCCAGGTCCAGTTTCGCGAAAATTGATCCAGATCCCAGGGAATGCAGCAGATGTTGCACCACTGGGACTGGGTATGCGCTCTGTGCCAACGCCTTGTTGATGGTACAACGGTAGTCAGCACAGATGCGCACAGACCCATCATGCTTCAGTGGGGTCACAATGGGGGTCTCCCATGAGGCATGATCGATCGGTTCCAGGACGCCCTGGGCGATCAGCTTATCCAGCTGTTCATCTACTTTAGGCCGCAGGGCAAATGGAACTCGGCGGGGCTTGAGCCTGATTGGGGTGATTCCCTTGTCCAGATTAAAGGAGATTGGCCTCCCCACAAATTTCCCCAGCTTACCATCGAAGACTTCTTTGAACTCTTCGATGATGGAGTCGAGTTCGTCCCTGCGGATCTCGTGGATGCCCTGAAGTGAAAGTCCTAGCGGCTTGAACCACTCCACACCCAACAGGTTCGGTCGGCTGTGCTGCACGATGGTGATGGGTAGCTTTCCGTCGAAGTCGTTGTACTTCACGTGGATGGTGGCTCTGCCTAGGATTTCAATGGGGTTTCCGTTGAAGTCCACAAGTCTCGCTTTCGGGGTTTTCAGCTGGGTCCTTTTGTATGCCGGTTTCAGCTGTTGTAGGTGTTGCCAGTCCATGATGGAGTAGGCGGATCCGGAGTCTACCTCCATCTTGCACGGAGACCCCTCTGCTAGCAGCGTCACGTGTAACTTGGTGGTCCCCTCGTCGCTTGTGTGAGCAATGGTGGTGGTCTGGTGCACCGTTCTGTTTCGGGGATATTCCTCCTCCCCGTGCCGGGACTGGTTTGAGGACCGTTTGGATGTCCTCTGGTTATCTTTGCGATTTTCCCGGAATCGTGGTCTGGGCGGTTCCGGGGCTGGGTCTGTGGCTCTGCAGGCCTCGGCGATGTGGCCCCTCTTCAGGCATTGGCGGCAGGTCACGTCCCTCCATCTGCAGTTTGCCCTGGGGTGGTCGCCTCTGCAGCTGCCGCATCGCTCTCCCTGGTCGCCATGCTGTGGGTTATCCCGCCTGGGGGGGCGGGACACCTTGTGGACGGCCATTTCCTCATCAGACTCGGATTGAGTGGTTGCCTCGTCTGATGAGGTCGGGCCCGACTTGTGGATCTTATGGATCCCTCTTGCTTTTACCATTGCGGCGGCTGCTTGCTCAGACGTTTCAGCCGCTGTTGCCTCGTCGAGGACGTCTTTAAGCGGGATCCTCTTCCGGCTGAGGAATTTCTTTTGCAGCCCCACATCTCGCATTCCAAAAACAATGCGGTCCCGGATGGCATTGTCCACATTGTCGAACTCACAGTTGGCAGCGATTTGGCGAAGCGCTGCCACGAATTCCTTGATGGATTCACCTTCCCGCTGGTTTCTTTGCTGGAAGGTGAACCTGTTTGCGATGGGGGTGCCTGTAGGTGCATAGTGCTCCTGTAGGACTTCCTGCAGGTCGTTCCAGGACATCTCCTCGATGTCCCTGGGTGCCACGAGGTCAATCGCCATCTCCAGGACGTCCGATCCGCAATGAGCCAGGAAGAGGGCTCTTTTCCTCTCATCGTCGAGGTTCTGGTATCCATTGCCTCGCAGGAACTGCCGGAATCGGACCATGTATGACCTCCACTTCTCCCGGGATGGGTCGAACGGGTTCAGCGCGGTCATCGGGGCTTGCGGGGTAGCCATTCTGGAAGGTCGCTGTGGTGTGGTGATTCTGTTCGGTGGGCGATTGTGCCACGAGTCTTGTTCAGGTTCTCTCCTCTAGTCCTTCGTCGCCAGTGTTAGATCAGGCGCAGGAAAGGGAGACTGGACCAGCTCGATACATTTAGCAACTTTTATTAAGTACAAAGTAACGAGTCAAGACCGCTGGCGCGCTGCCGGAGCTCTCCTTATATTCGCTCCCGGCAGACGCACCGCCCCTTGACAGGGATTCAAATTTCCCACCCGATGGCTGGCAGCCAATCAGGGCGGATGTCCTTATAAGGACATAACACTGACAGTAAATCTTTGAGAAATTGGCTGTATGAATTCAGGGATGCTGCCTCTAGAGCAGGGGTCTCCAACCTTGGCAACTTTAAGACAGGTTGGAGACCCCTGCTCTAGACTACCTGTGCCATTGCTGGATTGGAACACACATACATAACTCATCGGCATGGGGAAGAAAATAATAGAAAAAATATATTGATAGAAAAATAGGTTGAAGATTGTGTCATGGCCATATGAGCAAATAATAGGAAACTCTCCCTACCTGGCTCCTGCCAGGTTTACATGGCTGCTAGAATGGGAGAATGTTCTATCAAGGGTTTACTTCTCCTTACAAATGAAGGGTCTCAACAAGTCCTAAAGCCTATTTCTTGAATATGTTCAATTATGAAGTTTCTTGTAGTTATACTTTTCTTAATAGCAACAATACCAAGACATGATAAAAAAACAACAACAGTGTGGCTGTCAGATATTCAAGGTAATCCAAGTCAGGAAACAGATTCCACAGCGATTACTGGAACTTTACAGCAATAGCAATAGCGCTTAGATATTGCCAGTAGTGGGTTTCTACCGGTTTGCCCCTGTTCAGTTGAACCGGTAGTGGTGGCAGTGGGAGGCTCTGCCCACCTGCCTGAACGTCATCACGGACGCTCTGCGCATGCACAGAAGCAGCGCACATGCTCACAGTTCCGAACCGGTAGTGAAGATAAGTGGAATATTGCTCTATAGTGCTTTACAGCACTCTCTAAGAGGTTTACAATGTCAACATTTTGGCCCCAACAATCTGGGTCCTCATTTTAGTGACCTCGGAAGAATGGAAGGTTGCGTTGACTTTGAGCCCTCAGGATCGAACTCCTGGCTGTGGGCAGAGTTAGTCTGAAATACAGCATTCTAACCACTGCACCACTGTGGCTCCTTTATTTTGTTGTTGCAGGCTTTATTTATAGAATTTGGAAGCCTGACAGAGATTTTCCCTCCCTTCCTATTTAAACCAAGGTGAATCCAGGTGTGGCAATCTTGAGGTTCTTTCTCACTCCTTCTCTCTTTATAAAACTAAGCTGGTGTTTATGTAAGAGCTGTAGAATACCTTCCTCAAGGCCATTTCCCTACATCTCTACACTCCATACACTCTACAGAGGCCATCACTATCCTCTGGATGGCATTGGAGTACAAGACCTGGATTAGATGCATCTTCTGTCTGATCCATCGGGGTTCTTCTTATATTCTTATGTGTACCATTATGATTTCACTGAGGGTTGGAAGATGGAAAGACACAAAGAAAACTCTGTAGTGAATGATTTTGATTTACTGCATTGAAAAGTCTCTGAACTGGACTTTATGATTCAAACATAAACTAGAAGAAGGATGCACAGGTTTGCATTGGTAGAGCCTTGGTAGTACAGGGGTTTAAGGCACCCTGTTATTAAGCTGGTTATTAAGACCAGCTGCCTGCAATTACTGCAGGGTTCGAATCTCGCCAAGGCTCAAGGTTGACTCAGCCTTCCATCCTTTCTAAGGTAGGTAAATTGAGGACCCAGTTGTGGGGGCAATAAGCTGACTTTGTATAAATATACAAAAGGATGAAGGCTATTGCTGAGTACATTGTAAGCCGCCCTGAGTCTCCGGAGAAGGGTGGCATATAAATCAAATTAAAAAAAACAAAAACACATGTGGCCATTATAATGACATTTTGCACCTGATTTTTATTCAGTTTTTCTGGGAAGAGAAGAATTTGCTTTGGTACCAACTTTGGGATGGAAATGCTATTTATTTAAATAAATGAATTTAAGTATAAACATAAAACTTGCTTGTGTAGAATCTTGCTTGTCATGCATAGACTAAGTGTGTTGGGTTCCTGTAATTGCTTTGATTTCTTCCTTTCTTGCTTGCTTTTCTTGCCTTCAAATCAGGGGTGGTATTCACTTACCTTTGCTACCGGTTTGCAAACGGGAGCGCACGCGCCACCTCCGCACATGCGCAGGACCTTCTGCGCATGTGCAGAGCGTAAAAAACGGGACGTGATGATGTCTGGGCAGGTGGGCGGAGCCTCCTGCAGCCGCCGCTACCAGTTCGCCTGAACCGGATAGAACTGGCTGAATAGCACCACTGCTTCAAATCAATTTTGACTCAGGGCAATTGCCCTGAGAAGTCCTTGCAATTTTTTGACCAGATATTTCAGAAGGGGTTTGTCATTGTCTCCTTCCTAAAGCTGAGAGACTGTAACTAGTCATCCCAACTGGCTTTGCATCTAAGGCAATGGTGGATTTCAGTATTTTTTACTACCGGTTCTGTGGGTGTGGCATGGCTTGGTGGGCGTGGCAGGGGAAGGATACTGTAAAATCTTCATTCCCACCCCACTCCAGGGGAAGGTTACTGCAAAATCCCCATTTCCTCCCGATCAGCTGGGACTTGGGAGGCAGAGAATAGATGGGGGCGGGGCCAGTCAGACTTTTTCCTACCGGTTCTCCAAACTACTCAAAATTTCTACTACCGGTTCTCCAGAACTGGTCAGAACCTGCTGAAACCTACCTCTGATTTAAGGCAAGACTAAAGCTCCTGGTCTCTCAGTTTCTAACCTGGTGCCTTACCACTACATCAGATTGGCTATCTTATTTAGGGTCGAGTGTCTGACCTGCAAATCCCCAGATGATGCCTAGGTGGCAGCAAAGCAATGTAGAAACTTCTGATTCATCCTGATTTTTGCAGTCCATATACGCATTTCGATCTTATTACTATTTCTGGCTTCCAGGCATTTAATTGAATGACTGCCATTTAAGTAGTTTCATCTTCCCTTTCCTGGTTGAAACGTGGTTTCTATGAGTATGTGGGCAACCCACAAAGACCACAACTGGACATAACAAAGGTGAGTATATTTCAGCATAACGAAGAGTTTAATTCCAAAATAATGCATGATTGATAACCAGGCTATATGGGCTAATGTCTGATTTATTTTGGAGCTTTTATATAGGTGTATGGCATGGTGCTGATGCAAACAGTATCAGGTGAAGGGATACAGCAAGCCGTACATGTTCTCAGTGATACATTCAGAAATAAGACGACTCACAAGTCAAAAAAGGTGTGAATTGCCCCCAAGGCTCCTAAATACATAATTTTCAATATTTGTAGTACAATTTTACATTTGTCTCCTTGCACTAAGTCTTTTGGTTTTCAAAGGGTCTTACTCCCAGCAAAGTGTACATAGTAGACCTTGTTCACATACCACAACTGGGACTAGCAACTTGGCCATTAGGCAAAGTGGACAGTAAGTGGAACTGCAACTATGCTTACAATCTTTCTTTTGCTTTACAGATTTGCAAAGATCAATCAATGCAAGGATTGATCATAAAGTTACTTTATGAGTAACTTTTCCATCACCGTCATTACTTACGAATGGTGGCTAAACAAGGCAGTTTGTTTACTGACGACTACCTATACAGAATTGCAGCCTTAGTTAACTACATTTTTCCAACTGCTCATTTCTTTTGTGATCCTAAGGAATTTAGCCCATCAGCATGCTAGAATAAGGATAAACATCCTTATTCTAGCATCCTTTGGTCCATTGTTCTGTGGAAGATAACCCTGGAAAAACTGTGGCATGAACTGAAACTGCATGAACTGAAACTGTATAGACAGATCTAAACCAAGAAATAATTTTGTTCATGAAAACAGAGCAGTAAATCCTGCCCTAGCGATTTCTAGCAGTTTCTTACAGCAGAAACTGAGTTCAGATATGTGCAAGTAGGTATGGCCTTTTCTTTAGAGAGAGTAGTGGTATGCAAGTAGGTATGGCCTTCCTTTAGAGTAGTGGATGAATATTGCAGAATGGAATCTTATATACCTACATGTGGGGAGGGGGCTTCTGAGACAATATGTATAGGATTGCACTATAAGTTAGCAGGGAAGGGAACATACAAATATTCAATGTGTCCTTAACATGTGGGATATATTTCTGTGAAATAAGGCATGTCTGATAAATGAGCTGGTCCCATAATAGAAAATAAGCAAAGGGCTAAAGGTATCATAATATACTATCAAATTGCATTCATCCACTTAACAATTTGGAAGTAGTTATGGATGTGCATTCTGTTGCAGAGTCATCGAAGCAAAAGTCACAGCTGCTATTTACACACAGAGTCTGAAGACACAGAGGAAAATTTTACACTGTCAATATTTAGAAGCCTCGTGGCTGCCTTTTTACCAATCCTTCACTTAAGGAAAAATGGGGCTTTGATCCTGGAATAAAATAGGAAGCTAGAATTCTTGAGGCTAAGTTTCATGTTTTTCGTTTCCTGGACCAAGCTTTGCTTTTCCTTCCATAAGCTGTGAACAGCAGCAGTGATTTCCTAGGTCAGGGAGAAAAAAACTGCCTTAATAGCTTCTCGATATCTTTTTTGAACACCTTCTCTTACACTTGACATGCAGCATTTCCTTCAACTTGCTAACCAAGATCTTCCCAAATGACTGAGACTCTCTCTGCCACAAGAGGTATAAAAACAAAGCTCAACTGTTTTGCTTTTATGCTTTGCATTCTCAGGGGCAGATTTATTTCCCCCTTGCTCTTAGGACAAAACCTTGCAATTGGCACCACGAAGCCCTAGAGGGTGCTGTTAGCCCCTTTTCTTGTCATCTTCCCTCCCTCCCTCCCACTCCCTCCCTTTCTGTTTCTCTAAAGGACATATTGGCTGATCTCCTAATGCTATCTGAGAATGACACCTTGACGTTCCATGTGTTCCCTTCCTTCTGGATGAAATAGATCACTTTGGCTTGACCATCTCAGCAGTGTCCTGGTGGCAGGGTTCAGTGTGAAATTCTCTCCTCTCCTTTGCCATTTCTCAGGAGAAAGTGCAGTAGGAGCAAAGTAAAAGAAACAAGCAGTGACAGGGTACCAACTATTTTGTAGTGCTGGCTGCTTTTTGCATCTTTCTTTGAAGTCTTCCACTCTACTTAGTCAAGGTAGAAGATGGGTCTTTCCAGAACCTGCATTTTGCTCTGTGGTCAATGCATCTGTTCTGCTGCCATCAGTAATCTAAAAGATGGAAGGGAGGAAGTCTAGAGGTGAGTTGGCTGGCCGCTTCTACTATGGGTTGAGAAGAGTAAGGGCACTAGGACCAAATGACTTATATAAGACTTCCATGCAACAATGTCCCCTTGATATGTGCACATAGGAAGCACATAGGCTTTCCAAGCCCATGATTATTTACAAAAATCTTCCTCAACCATGTCCCTTTTAACATGAGGTGGCTGAGAATTGAAAGAGTTGAGGTCCAACACGTCAGAAGGCAATATGCTGGGGAAGAACCTCAGAGACTGATGGTTGCTCTCTAGAACTTCAGACTGGTCTCTCTCACAGCCTGACCTGGAGATGCCAGGACTGAATTTACCACAAGCTATACATTTCTACTCTATCAATCATTTCTTCCCTTACATATTCCATATTTCTGAAAATATCTGGCATAGCAATCCCATTTTTTTCCTGCTTCTTTTACTCTATATATCACATAAACCTGAAGGCCTTGAGTTTCAGAAGACTTCAGCAGCATGGCTAGGCCAGTTCGGTCCCAGTGTCCCACTTCTCCTCACCCCTAAAAGGAAAAACGTCAAAATGTTCCTGTGGAGAACTTATACTGCTGAAGCAGATACAATATAAGGGCTATTCGGTAAACTTGTCTGAATTTATCCTGGTATGTTTCCAAGGTACCCACAGCTTGGAGCCTCCTCCATCTGATCTCCTACATAAGCTATGCATGATCAGAAGAAAACAAAGATGGGGGTGGCCCCGATTATTCATTTCTGGCTCAGTTTGAATTAATATCAAATAAATGTTTTTCATCTTTAAAGGTTACAGGCTAAAAATAGAGGGCGACTGCTGAATCAAGGGCAAGTAGGGAAACACCTGATACGACCTGGTCTTTGCCAAGGCCAGCTGATGTATTAGCTAGATGACACCCTATCACACAGCAGAGAAGCAAGAGAGAAAATGGGCAAGACATAGGGGGCCAGAACTGAGAGGTAAGGAGAAACCATGGGAGGAGGACATTTTGCACACACAAGGCTCACTTTACTCACATTGGCTAGACTCCAGATCACAGAACACATTGCCTGGAATTCTTGTAGTTAACTCCATCTGAGACCATGGACACAAATACTGCAGACCAGCCTCCGATTCTATTCCTATGACTGGAGAAGGCAGGATAAGCATGGGACAACCATGGGTGAAATCTATCTGAACTATTCTCTCCTCCGCCTTTTCTCTTCACTTGTCCAAATTATTCAATTGTTCAATGGGAAGAGATCTATTTCCCCAGCCACTTCCATCCACAGAAGGATGGACGCTTCTACTCTGCAGGATTATGGCAAGGTGCAGCATAGAATAAGTTACTGTACACTCAAACTGGGCTCACACATCAACCACAGACACTGCTTTGTGGCTGAAAGTAATGAATGAAGCCAGTTATAGAGATTGATTGTAAGTCTGAAAAAAGAAACGTGCATGTATATGCATGCCTTACACTTTAGGAAGTCCTTCATTCTGGATGCCGAACAATAAAGGCAATGATGATCTAAGGTGTGTTTTTCTTTGCTGCTCAGCAGAGGTAGATCAGAAGTTTCGTCGGGTCATACAGATGGTGCAAATAGATAGATGCTGCTCCCAGACACAGTACTATGCCTTGTAGATGTTGCTACGAGGCACAGTACTGGAGGATATAGCAAAGAGGAAAATTGGAAGGGAATTTAGCCTATTGGGTTTGTCTGCTATTTACTCTGATAGGCAGTCCTTCTTGGTAGATTGCAAGGATAGGGACCTGAGATAGTTAATCCATATAGAATCATCCACCTGCCTGGCTTATGTATATCTTGGTACCTGTGTGTGTTTTAGATAACAGCTCCTCACTTTTCCTTTCCTAGTGTGGAATGTTATTCTGAATGCAAATCTGTCCCACCTGAGTAGGGATACTACTTCAGCCTTTGTGTTCTGACCTGTATGTCTAGGGACTGAGAAAATACAAGTGACCAATGAAGTTTCTGATAGGTGGCTGTGTTAGGGAACAGCTTTGTGGAGCTTCCCTACTGTTGGATATAACTAACTTTGCCGGGATATTGCTCCTGATCCTTGTAGAGGTGAAGCTCACTTCTCCATCTGTTGTTTCCAACCGTTATGCAAAAAGCACCTGAAGGCAGCTTCCTCCAGGTGCTGAAAGAAGAGTTGGCAGAAGAGGCATTATTTGGGGCTTACTAACCAAGACATGTTGTGAATCTCCTCCCCAGAGGGACATCTTGGATAGCTTTGCCTCCCAGATATCTGGTAAACTAGAAAGCAATAGAAGAGATCAGAAGACCTCTCTCCTGGTGACTGGCAGTACCAAAACCATTGTTCACTGGGCATTCAGTCCTGAAATCATGGCAAGAGTGCTGAGATCATTTGGGTACACTCTGGGAACAGGCCTCCATTGCTGCATGTTAACTGGAAACCCATGTGGATCCTTACTGTCACAATCCCAGACTGGCTGGCTTTGGTGGCATTTCCAGAAAGCTTCGAAGTTCCTACATTTCATGTTCCTACGTGGTATCTTCTAATGTGGATGCAGGAGTGCTTGGATTGTAGTTTGAATCGGTCCTTCGTCCTCTTGTAATTCAGCTCCAATAGTCCAGAGAACAAAAAGGCTTTAAAACAACCTTCTTTCATTTCATTTGGTTTATATAAAGTCAATCTTTATGCTTGGAGGAAAATTATGCTGTGCAGATGAAGCACCAACAACAACTTCTGAATGGGCTTCTGGCTCATAATTTTCCCCCCTGGTTTCTTCTTCTTCTTCCCTCAGGATGTTGGAATGGAAGCCAACTGAAGAGTAGCTCCATCAAAGTAGAGCTAAATCAATGGCAATTGTTTATGTGAAACATGGACTTAATTGTTGTATGTGAATCATGGACTTAAGGCTGGCTTTCCTCTCCTACTGTCCCCTCATTAAGAGTCATCAAGGATTCTATCATGGGCTCTGTGTCCTCCTGCAGGATATTTCTCAGAGGGAACAAAAGCAGTCAGATGCGCCTTAACCTTCCCCAAGCAAAGAAATCATCGTGTCTCCAGTCCAGCTGAGAAAGAGAAAGCAAAACTTGGGAAAGTCAAGCATGTCTCCCAAGAGAGAGAGAGGGAGGAGGAAGCGAACAAAGATCCTGTGGAAATGGATGCCCTGCAGGAATAGAAGCTGAAACACACTTCTCCTTTGTATGAGAAATGTTTCTCATAAATTCTCTTCTTCAAAGTCCCCAGGAAGTGGCAAACTTGGAGAGAAGGTGTTACACATCTTCGCAGATGAACGTCTTCCTCCTAAAATTTAACTAGGTTGGCAGGATTATGCATGTATGAACCTGCACAAATACTTTGGCAACAGTTTTCACAACCTTTTTTTTTTTTTGGTTCACATCTCTTGGCCCATGTTTAAGAGGTACAGGATGCTTCTGATGGGAGGCTACCCCGTTTCAGTCTCAGGCTGCCATTCCAGCCTCGTGGGCAAATATTGAAGCTGCGGATGCTAGGTGACTTGACCCCAGAGCAGTCAGAGTCCACGGATGCCTCTGAGTTGGTGGGGGACATGGAAGTGGAGCGCTTCACTGGGGACCATGTTGTCATCATCGGACTTTGGAGAGTGGGAGAAGAAACATCCAGGTTTTTTGGACTAGTATATGACATCCCACTGGTGTTTGCTGGCAATGTGAAGGCCTTACGGCTATCCACAATTGTGGGTTTTTGAAGCGGCTCCGGATCCTTGTGTGATTCAGAATGAGTGCCCATTATACTTGGCCCATTACGGTTTGTTGAGACAATGAACTGGGATGCTCCAGTTCTAGGAGGCAGCGTGAAGCATTTGTTTCCATTCATCCTCCCTGCTTTTGGTGACTGTAGTGGGCTTGGAGATTTCATGCCTAGCAACCTGGGGCTGTTGTTTGATGATGCACTAGCCTGTGGTGGGGCAGCTGAGACAGGGAGGGAGACACGTCTGTAGCCATCCATTCCTGTCGGCTTGGGTGACTGAATTGGGCTCGGAGAATGAGTACTCCTGTTCTTAGGGCTTCCACCAGTGGATGACACATTGGGGCAAGTGACAGGGGGCGTGAAGGGCCTGAAGTTTTCTACTCTGGTGAGTTTGGGAGAAGAGCTCTTCCTCCGGGCAGCATTTATGATATTTCTTGCCAACAGCACCTGCATCTGTCGGCTGGACTTTTGGTCAATCTCCTGTCGAAATGGTGACAGAGACCTTTCACTCCAGGATGGAGACATGGGAGGAGGTGGAGTCATAACATGGGCTGCTCGAAAGGCTTCGACATGTCCATCCTCAGATTCGGGAGTTTGGGCTGGGCTCATCCAGCCCTCTATGCTGCCGGACGGTCGCCTTATCAGCTGTGGAGTCCATGTTGGGGAGGCAGGCAGGGATGTTTTTCTTTCCTGCAATAAGAAAATGAATAATTTTTAGCATTCTGTTCCTCTACGACCCTTCAGATTGTGCTTACCTGCAGAAGGCAAGGTCTGGCTGTGCACCGTAAGAAGAATTCAGGTGCCGAGAACAGCATGCTCCCTGGATTTCTTTTCTGGCTATATCCATTCCTCCTTAGATGACTTTGGGTCAGTGGTGAAATCTAAAATTTGTTACTACCGCTTCTGTGGGGTGGGCGTGGCCAATTTTTTTTTTTACTTTTAAAACCATTTTTTCTACAACCTCTTTGGTGAAGAGGTTGTAAAAAAATGCTTTCAAAAGGCTCTGACGATCCCAGCTGAGTTGCCTGATCGGCAGAGACTTTTTTTCTTTTAAATGCCTCTGATGATCAGGAAACTCAGCTTGGATCGTCAGAAGCATTTAAAAGAAAAAAGGGTTTTGTTTTTTTTACCTGCAGGACGGTTCTGGTCCAAAGACCCATTGGCAGCGGTTCGGCAGCCAGGGTTTTCGTGGGACTCATCAGAGCCCGCTATTTCCCCGACTGTCTCACCACGACACCAAACTGCTACTTGTTCAGTGCTGTCATCAGTTCAAACGTGGCTTAATGTGAGTGGTCATTAAACAAGGACCACTTGTATTTTATTTTATTTATTAAATTTTTATGCTGCCCATTTGCCCTATTAAGGTGACTCTGAGTGGTAGTACTTTGGAAGGGAGTCAAGTGATGCAGGATAGGGATCACAGCAATGGGGATAGTAATTTAATATAGTTTTCTGCCAGTTCAAGAATGGATGGATGGATAGACATTCAACATAGAAGCCCTCCTCTCTTTCTACCTGTTTCCTCTCACTTGTCCTTTCTCCCTTAGATTTATACACCTTTCACACACATCTAGAGGTTCTGCAAGCAAGAAAATTTCTTAAATTTGATCAGAGGCACTTACTGAAAATAAAGCCTCTTCATTAGAATCCAGCTAAAAAGAGCCCCATTAGGATTTATGGAAGTGTTAGAAAGCCTCATGGGCAGGGACAATGGTGGCAATAGGACACAGGAGCAGTTGTGCCAATATTTTTTTTTCTGGAAGAAAGACCACCTTAACCCTTCCTCAACAACTGCCACTTGCCCTCCTCCCTTCTGGGAAACACCTTCTCTACAGGGACAAGATTTTAAGAGTTTCCATGGGCACCACCACAAAGCAACAAAAACTTCATCACCACTCCGTTACTGATAGCAACTGATCTCTTATCTGGTTAAAACTTACAGTTTCCTAATAGAATTTGCAAGAGGTGTTTGGTGAATGGGCAAAGCTGTATCCTGAATTCAAATTCAGACCCCCCCACCCCCACCCGGCCAGATCCGCAGGCTCGGGCGGGAGAGTGGCAGGCAGAAAAGTGGGTGCTTTGGCTGGGCTACAGCCCAGGAGACATCCGGGAGCATCCCCTGTCACGTCCCCTGACTTAAGCGGGGAGAGCAATGGCTGAATCCTGCCTCCTTTCTCTCCTTTGGTAGAGAATTCAAAACTGGGGGTTTATTTGTTCAATGGAACAACATGCCTCCAGAAGTTGTGAATGCTCCAACACTGGAAGTTTTTAAGAAGAGATTGGACAACCATTTGTCTGAAATGGTATAGGGTTTCCTGCCTAAGCAGGGGGTTGGACTAGAAGACCTCCAAGGTCCCTTCCAACTCTGTTATTCTATTCTATTCTAAATCCCGGATTCTTTGCATGGAAAATATAAAATTAAATAAAGATTTTTAAAGAAAACCCTTGGCATTCAATTTATTGATATGGAACTAATAGAAGGCAGGGATAGTATTGATTTACTGAAGGAGCTAGGAGTGCCCCAGTGTTGTTGGGCTTATAGGAACATCTGAGATGTTGAGAAAACATTATAGGCAGACTTTTGTTAATAGCTGCTGTGTTGGCATTGTTAGTCACAATGTGACTGCCCTTGGGGACATATATTTCAAAAGTTTGGATTTGTCAGCAATCCACTTGCCACTAACTGTACTTTCTCTTCTGCAAGATGCTAACTTTTTCCCATGTATTTTTGCTGTTTACTCTGGATGAATGGGCAAAGTTCCAAAGAATGACCTGGGCTGAAATTATCAAAATTTTATTTTTTAGGTCCTAGGACATTTCATGAGATGCTTGATCTCTTTGGAAATAAAAAAGGTGTGGGATCAAACTGCACTGAAGCATGTCGTCCCCCCACATTTTTTTCCAAAATTTTTTAAAAAATGCAGAAAATCAGCAGGAGCAGCAGTTGGTACATAGCAAGGGAGATATCTGTAGCTCTCAGATGTTGCTCTGTAGGGCAGAGATCTACTTCTGGAATCTAACCTGCCAATTCCTGTAAAGAGTTTCATGATTTTTCCGGAGGTTTTGTGGCTTCAAGTCAGGCCTGACAGCTGGCCACTGCCTGGATAAGTTTCTACAGTTTTCTTTGCAGTGTTTTTCAGAAGTGATTTGCTATTACCTGTGACTGAGACAGACTGGCCCAAGGTCACCCAGCTGGCAGTGTCTAAATCCAAACTAGGACTCACAATTCCTTGGTTTCTAGTCCAGTGTCTTTAAGTGCTACACCAAACTGGCTCTGTTCCTCAAGAATGCTACTTATGATGTGTAATGTGGCTATGAAAACAAGTGTCAGGCCTGGAAGCCATCTTTTGCATTGGATCTTCAGGCCCGCCACATTTACTACTGTGGGAAACTGGGATGCAAGGGTGATATATAGTCATAATAACATTCCTTTCTCAGAGAGTCAAGGACATCTTGCCCTGCACCTGGAGGGCTGAAACTGGGAAGCATCTCCAGTTGGGACTGTGTTTGGATTGGACCATATGATGGACATGTGGGTATTGGGCAGGGATTTGGACTTTCCTCTGGGTGGAGAAAACCTGGAAGCGTTCAGATTCGGGTTTTCCCAGATGTGCCAATATGACATCTCTAATAAAATGGACCTTTGAGGAACTTCAAGCCTTGGAGTCTTTTTTCATTGGGGGTGTTACTTGGAACCCTGACAACAAGAGGGCTTGTGTAAAAACATTGAGCATAGAAAGCAGGTGGAAGTAAGGAAATGAAACAGGAGAATCGCTACAAAACACAGAATGAATAGAAAAATTTAGGACGCTCCATTCATTTCTTGAAATTTCGGAAGAAGTGAAATTCCTCTATCAGCAAAACAAGTTGCTAAAAAGGATAGGAGGATGTAAGAAACAGAGGGGAAAGGAACATCAGAAACTGACACTGAAAGCACACTTCACTCATTCCTACTCTGTGGTTTTCTAGTATTATTTCCTTCCTTTACAGTATCTTTCAACACATGTTTTAGAACACAAAACCATGTCAATGCAGGAATACATCCTGATGGTCTTCCTGAGTCACATGTTTCATCAATTTCCTGTCTTTCTCCCAAATGTGTATCTCATTGCTGAAATAGGCATGATAATAAAGACCGGAATGTATGTATTCATGGGAAGGCTTAGCATAACAGTATTCTAGAAAAAGGATGGGAAGCTGCCAGAAACAGAAGCAATTGAGATTCATTGGAGCATCCAAGCACAGGGTTCTGCAGCTACAGTAAGAAAAATAAAAATGTGCAGTACAGCACAACACAACACAAAACCCACTGCTGTGTAGTTGCAACCCAATTTCTGACAAAATGACTAGAAGTCCATCATAGTATCTGTATTTGACATGCTGCATGATTTAATCAATCTTTCACCCCCACTAACTGCATCCAGGTTAGCATTCATGGAAGTGCTTCGTGTTATGATTGATGTTAAGCCAAGAGCCGGAGGGCAGCTTTCTATTGACATTAATGCACAAAGGTAACCATTCACATACAACTTTTCTGAGGATAACTTCTCCAGCTGTATTTCTATTGGCGGAATCCTAAAGTTGAAATTATTTCAGATTAACTGAGGTTTCTCAGTTAGTATGACTAGTTGGATAATCTGGATTGCCCAGGGAAGGAAAATCTCTTACATTAGATTCCTTCCTTCCTTCCTTCCTTCCTTCCTTCCTTCCTTCCTTCCTTCCTTCCTTCCTTCCTTCCTTCCCATTCAGCTGTCCAAATTTTGTAGCACCCCTCCTGCTCTTCATAGTTCCCAAATGGCCTCTTGTTAGTGGAAATGCTGACATGGAGATATCAATGGCTTGCTAATTCTTTTGGGCCAATAGTGAACTTTAGTTCACTATTTGTACCTACACAGGGAGAGGGAGAGGGAGAGGGAGAGGGAGAGGGAGAGAGGGAGGGAAGGAGGGAGGGAGGGAGGGAGGGAGGGAGGGAGAGAGATGCACGCATACCCCTGAACTACTATATATCAGAAAATAACACGAGCCTTGGTACTACAGTGGTTTAAAGCACCCTGTTATTAACACAGCTGCCTGCAATTTACTGCTGGTTCGAATCTCTCCAAGGCTCAAGGTTGACTCAGCCTTCCATCCTTTCTAAGGTAGGTTAAATGAGGACCCAGTTTGTGGGGGCAATAAGCTGACTTTGTATAAATATACAAAAGTATGAAGGCTATTGCTTAACGCACTGTAAGCCGCCCTGAGTCTCCGGAGAAGGGCGGCATATAAATCAAATTAAAAAAAAAAAAATAACCATTGGGGGTGAATGCTGCTGTTTCCCTTGTTTCCAGCATCCTATTGTCTAGGAAGCCTCTTCTCTGCCTCTCTCTCAACTGTTGCTGCAAGGTTTCAGGAGAGGAAAGGAAATTCAGCCCCTTGTTAAATGGAACATCCAGATAGGAAGCACCTGCCTCATGGAAAACATGTCTCTTGTCAGTTTTCAGCAAAATATTTTGTGTATTTTCAATGTTCAATATTATGTTAAATTCCTAAGCACTGCTTAAACACTGTAAAAATTGACCTTTCTATAGGATGCCTTTGACAGAAATTAAACCAAAGTGAACTATGTTGCCTAAGGACTATGGGAGTTGTAGTTTAACACGTGTGGAGGGCTCCCTGTTGAAGAAGACATCCATGTTGTTCTCAGCAGTACT